CTGGTTAGATCCTGTCGGATTCAAGATACGATTTTACATTCAGAAATGCTTAAGGTTATTTTTGTCTTTCGATGATTAATCAACAATCTGCTTAAGGTGCACGTTTGTATGCTAAAGTTGAAAATCTTCCCATAAGGCAAAACACGTGGTTAATGAACTCTGAGTGAGTTAGTCAATGAGAACAATGGTAATCTGCTTTGACATTTAACCCAAACACTTATTTCAAAGAACAAAGAGATATCTTTTTTCTTGATCGCAGGAGGCAATGCCTATGAGACCTCGTCACGTAATTATTTACAATGAAGGCAAACTTTTAGACACCATGCTAAGTATCATGATGTTTTACATGAAAGAAAAGATGAAGAACCGAGTAAGTTACTTGGCCTTTATCCATGCGCTTTTATGAACCTTATATGAAGCCCATGCAAGGGGAATAAGTATGCGTTTTACATTAATAAAACCAATAGATAGTGCGGTGCGGTTCAGATATTGAGAAAGTTTTTGAAGCTGAGCCAGACCTGAGAGCTGTGCTGCCACCAGAAGTAGGGAGTGAAGGCAAACCCCTAGAAGATCTCATTCGTGAGTCTATACTTATCTTATAGTGGAAGTTATATTGCTTTAGACGAATAAATGTCACCTTTACCTTATAATTGGTTCACCTGTCTAGCGTAGATTGAATCTTCATGTCGTTTCACTCAACAAAGTCAATTCTCTGCATCATCAAGTAGAGCTAAGCCTATACACTTTTAGAGTTAGACCAATTAAAAGACCACGCCTAAAATTATTACAAAAGCCTAATTTAACCCAACACATTACGTAATCACTCAGTTTTCCATCATATTTAGTGCATTTGAGCTTAAACATCAAGAATATTGGCACAAATACAACAACAAGTAACGACATTGTTATGCTTTAGAGGCGAACAAGAAGCGCTTCCATGAATTTTACGGCAAAGGTGATCCAACAGGAAAAATTAGGGTGGATGAATCGAAGAGACCGGTCTCGGCGCGCGACTTCCTACATGACTACAAGGACTACAACGCAAATGTCATGGGGAAGAGCGGGACATACGTCAAAGTGGATCAGAGTGAAATATGACAAAAAAACTTGGTATAGACATTAAACTCCTGAGTAAATAAAAGCATTGAGAAGTGGTTTACAGAGTCTCTCATGAAACATTTAACAGCAATGGGTCCAAACTTGCTGTGCCGCTTGAGTCCTTACGGAGTTTGAAGAATTAATAATAGTAGAGCAGAATAACTATTGCAGACGTACAGAAGGGCTAGATGGAGGACTACTGGGGTGGCTCGGAGGCCATGAAAACCAGTGAGAGTACAATCGCGGAGCCTTAAGCGCCCTCTGAACCAAACGAAGGGTTAAGCAGTTAATCAGCGCGCTGCGCTCGAATCTGTTGAAGATGCTCATAAGGATTGAGTAAATTTAAAGTGCGTAGAGCATGAGTAATTTGTCACATTAAAACCCGCTAAAGAGGCCTTTAAGTGTGACAACGAAAACAGCTTAATAATTTAATGAATGACCAAGCTTCAACTATAGTCGCTGAAAAAATTTTAGAGGCGAGAAAGATGAAAATTTATTTGTTCTTAAAACCCACTGGCACCATAAAATCAAAATCTGCTACATTTTAAAGCCTCTCACCTTGTGTATTAGTCGATTTTACTGTATTACACTGCCATGACAACGTTCAGAAGGTTACAAAACCAAAACGGGATTACACATTTTCTTGACCAGCTTTTACAGTAGGATATTAGTATGCGAAACCTGCATTTAACTTAGGATGAGGGTATCGAGCTCTACATAATGGCAACTAGGGGTTGTTTAAAGCCAATATTAGGGGCATTTCTTATCATTGACTATGTCTTATAATGGTCCCTAATGATGTAAATGCACCAAACACATTTTCTCTTTGTTTTAAGTGTCATCGAGCATTATATTGCGCAGTTTTTTAAAAAGCATTTACAATAGTACTAATCCTTTTTAACTAAGTCTTTTCAATCATTTTACTGTTAGTGTGCTTAAATTAACCGTGTAACTTGCGGCATTTTTAGTTCTCCCCTAACTATCCAATCAAGAATGAGTGAGGGGTGGTTGGGAGTTCGTCAACGGAAGATGCAGTGACGTATGTTTTCTAGCTGAAAACACAATCGTGTAAGAAGTGGCCCACATCCTCTGTGAACCTCTTAATCGTGTTGGATACTACTGTCCTGTAGTGTGTTGGTGAAAGGATGTTATCTTATTTTCATCATCCGCAGGTAATGTTTGTCGTCTGTAGCTTGCATTATCTCGATGAATGTGTGGACTAAACACAATCTGCTTGATCGTACATGCAGCTGAGAAGTGCCATTATTAGGTTCCACTTTGAGTCCTGGTCTTAGCACTCATTACAACTGCTGAATTTGGACTGACCATTCAACTAGAAATTTGGTGAATCTAAGTGGACTGTTATGGTGGAACGAATGCCATGCCAGTCCATCTCGTGGATTTGGATATGTCCACCCATTGTCTTTTAATATCCAACTCCATCAGAGAAATGTTTCTGTCAAGTATTGTTTAATGCTGTTTGGTTTTTGAATTTGAGTCAGTTTCATTCGACACCTTGTCTATGAATTAAGCCAGCTGCTACATACGCAGGTTAAGCACCTACCTGATGTCGTTGATTTCTTTACCGACTAGTATCCAATTTTGGGGGTTGAATCCTTATTTGCCGTCGTGTGTGAGCACTCCAAGTAATTATTTATGAAGGATATTTGTTTTTTGAAATCCTCCCCGGTTGTCAGTTATGGTATGGGACTTGAGCCCTCGGTAACGGCTTAAATTAGTCGAACTAGGAACAGCCATTTGAAGCACTGGTAAAAGCTTCCCTTTTCTTTACGGAGTAAATGTGTTGAACACATTCGAGACCTACCATCGGTGTCGTGCTTGGCTTACTTCCTTAACCACAAAAGTGTTTAAAGAATGGAAAAACCAGTTGAACTCCAAGAAACTTGCTTCAGTACGAAATTCTGACAGAACTGAAGAGTTCCCAATTAAAACGAATGTATGAAGCAAGTATTTTTTTTTCCTCAGAGGTGTTATTGGTACTTTACTCACCTTATGTAGATGGGGAATGAGACTACTACTTGATTGCCAAAAAATGCATTTCAGTTGATGAAAGGTCGCGGTAATGGATGAGACATAAGGCTCAGCTTATTATATTTTCTTATTCCCCATGGCATATTCTTTGTAAGGCGTAAAAGCTTTTTCAAAGACTACCAATTCGCTGTTCTTCACGCCTTATGGGTTGTTTTGACTGATTGACTGGTTGGCTTGTGTCGAGAAATGGCTTTTGTATTGCAATGTTAAGCAAACAAATGTTTGGTTAGTTGTTCCCCAACGTTTCTTTCACTATCCAACCGACACTTTATGGCATCCTTATCATCCCCAGAAGAGTATACTTTATGAGAGTTTAATGGACTGTAGCCGAATTTGTTCGTGGCAACAGATTTTGGCTGTGGCTCTTTTGATCTTCACACAACTTAATGGAATCCAAACGAACCCAGGAAGGAAGCTTGTTCCAAGCAGTAGGCAAACCAGCCAATTAGTCAATGGGAGGGGTTTTATTCCTTTTATACAATGCAATGTAAGGCTTCATACCTCGTACCGCTAAGCTGATACGTAGGCAGATTTGTACTTGCAGATAAGATAGGGTGGGACGAAGGATAGTGTCTCACCTCACCCTCTGTACTTTCCTAGTGATATTCTTCCATGTAAGGTTTATCATTTTTCCAAGACACTAGTCACATGAGACATTATAAGGAAACGTAATTATTTAGTAACAATCGTCTTGTTCTCTCCGAGTTGTAGGATCGAGATTCAGAGCGTGGCTTCAGAAGTGGGAAGTGGGCTAACGCTTAATTGGGGAAGAGCCTGGTTTGGGTCATGTGTGTCAACCTTTACATGCAAGCATGACTACTGGCCGAACGCCACTAACCGACCCATCGTACTGATTGATCAAACCGCCATAGGAATGGGTCATTAGAAAAGGCAAAAGTGTCTGCCAGTTTGCAAATGTGATTTAGGACGCACATGGCCACTCGATCAGAGGAAAGTGTAGCGATGCAATAAATTCAACTGCCGCCGTTCTCATTCTTGGGGTGTGCACAAACTTATGAGTTATATACATATAAATGACCCTCATTGGGGCACTGATGGGATGCAACAGAGTGGGAGTTAAAATTGGCATTTAATCACCAGACGACTGGCCTTCACCGGATTAGATTAGTGAGCGAATTGAAGCTTCCTACCGTGGGCTTGAAAGTGCGGAGAAGGTGTAGGTGACTCCAACGCCCAATTTGTATGTGGAATTGGTCAACCAAATCGAATAGGCAAATTGGCTCTGACGGTGACGTCATAGAGGTGTGAAGAGGAGAACAAGCTTGACGACGGAGCTGACAGTGCAAGGATTGTGCGGTGAAATATGCAATGAATAGGTAGAGTGCAGTGTCTCTCCTAAATTTGCAGTAGACTTAACCAGTGCAGCCGAATCAGGGTAGCCATGAACTCCTGGAGGGAGGGAGGACTGGCGGTGCATTGGTATGTGTAGAGGGGAGAGGGTAAAGGGCGGAGAATGGAGAGTCGTGCCTGTGGATTCTGAAGGCATTTTGAAAGGAAATCGAGCAAGTCATAAGGATATACATAAATTTAACAAAAATTCCTGGTTTCTTAGGGTTTATTGAAAGGGTTGCTTTTAACTGACGGCCCATTGCTATCAAGTTTGGAATTAAGTCTACCACTTTTCTGACTTGTACTCTAGGGTGCCGTTTTGATGTCCGCCACTTTTGTACCAAACGACTTGAAAATAAGCTTTTTATAAGTCGTAGGGTGTATTATCGCAATTTCTTTTCAAATTGATTCCAGGGTTATCAAGTCAAATTTGGAGGCACAAAGGACCCGAACTGGAAGATTTATGTCGTAAATGGGAAAGTGCCCAGGATATGTTGGAGATGATGAAGCCTCTCTGCGCATATCATGTATGTTCTGCCGTTATTTTGCTATAAATGTTTTAGGATAAATCAAAACATATTTGCACCATTCATACTACTGATGGCAGCTGAGTAGTTAGTGGATAGCAATTTAGCAGTGCTGCGTATGCACTGATCTGTTTGTGATTGGCCGAGTAAGGATGCTGTTTTTGGACGATCGTCGCCTAAGTGGCGTTCCCCGTTGTTGTTTGCATCCGGTTTCAGTTGTCTAACGTTCAGTGCACTGGGACACGAATCAACCTACCAAAAAACAATAGAGAGAGAGAGATAGACCACGCTAAGTCACCCCACTAATTGCACTTAGCCTCCAAAGTGTCATTTTGTATCATTCATAGTCATTTCTACTCACCTACAGCTGGCGTAGTACTGTTTTCATTTATTGAGCATAATTTTTTTATTCATTTTACCTTTTGGATTGGCTGAGTTGTCTTTCCAAACTCCTATCTGTACTAAATCAAAATTAACATGCCATTTACATATTTTCACGAATTCTCGGCTGTCAAAAGTTACGCTGTGAGTGTGGCGTTAGAGGACATCTGCTTTCATGCCTCAAGTCACGGTTAAAGTGACACGTGGATCTAAGAAATTATTCGCCTTGATAATAAATTTTTTTATAAAGAAAGAAAGCACTGCATTGAAATCCTTTATGATTTTTTATGCCCCGAATGGGATGCTTTGAATTGGCTCTGAGAAGCTAGGTATTAGCAAAGAAACTATTGTCTCTCAGTGTTAAATAAACGACTAAAAGCTCCGAGGAAAGGTGAGTGCTTGACTGTTTTCCTGAAAGAATGACATTCCATAGATCAAGATATTTTTACTTAACGGGATGAAATTGCTTGAATTTGGTGTTTTTTTATGGTTTGCAGTCCTTGTCACTTTAAGGGCACATTTAATGATTTGCAGGTTTTATAACTCTATACTCTTCAAAGCAGGGCTATAAACCGGGTGGGCAACATTTAAAGAGGATTTCGATCCTCAAACCTTCATTGGGTTGTTCACCCAATAAGTTGGTCCTGAATTGAATGGCTATGCAAGAACGCAGGAATCGCTGCACCTGAAAGGCTCCTTGATTGCACTTATCTGCCAAATTGTCCGTGGTATTTCGATGTACTAACGCTAAGAAGCGAATGAGGCTAAAGCTGCTTAACTTCTCAAATACATAGTTACATCTATAGATAACTTAAGTGGGAAGGTTATCATTTTCATGGGAATTGTCCTTTACCAATCAGCGGAATTGCTGTGAGAATTCCTGTTTCTATTCTCTTCTTTTTTTTTTATTTTTAAGACTGACTAAACGTGGACAAATAAGGTGTCTCCCTAATCAGGTAGATTGTGAATAGTAAATGAGTTAGCTTATTAAAGAGAAGTCAATATTGAAAAAGAATTTTCCAGCATGCATTTCATTTTTAAGTAGTGAAGATCTTCAAACACAACCATAACTCAACAGCCCCCTGTCTTTTACGCGGTATAATTAACGTCAACAACAAGTCGTGAGAATAAAATTTTGAGTGCTTTTTTCCCTACATTAACCTAGAAGACTAAACTTTAAGCTTTTTTAGCGTGATGTATATACTTCATTAATATTTAAAGGTGAGATCCTAATTTTTGTCATCTCTCACAACCAAAGGAGCGTACACGATGACCTCGGTATATTGCTCTGCTGTAGC